TAATGCTTTTTTCCTCAGTTGGTCAGAACAAATGTGGCAGACTTGTTACTTGTTGAGATGACAATATCACCCAAATAAGAATTTTCACCGGATTTTGCCATCTGAACAAGTAAGTAATAAGTCTGCCACGTTTGTTCTGACCAACTGAGGAAAAAAGCATTACCATAAATCTCGCTACCAATGGTGATTAAATCTAAAGATCGGTTAGCTCATATCACATCAAACCGTTCAACTTATTATTATTGTTATACTTTATTCTCAAATGATTAATGTTAACAACATCAGCATTGGTGACTATGAGTAGTGTGTATTAGTGTGTAGATTTCAATTTCTGTCCAGTCTAATATCTAATTGTCATGCTCTTCGAATTTCATATTAAGAAATTCTTTTAACCCAAAAAGCTAATTATGCTCCCTTCTAACTGGTTTTCTTTAAAATACAAATCTTTGTAATCCCAGGCTATCTGTAATCAGAAGCACATTTATAACTGGAATATAATTTAATTTCATTCACATGTGTTTCATAAACACATAATCCTTTATGGATTACAATCCGCCATCAAAATTATACATTTAATTATTCTGGCTGCTGTGAGAAAAGGCTAACAATCTGCCACCTGCAGGATCCTCACATGCGATCGCCTAGTAGCCGGGACAACTTCTTTATGTCACTTCGTAATGACGCAGTGCCATGCTCGAATTTCCTGCAAAAACCTACCCATACCACTCAAATTAGAAAACATGATTATAAGCTAACCGTTGTGAATCGGGCTAAAGTAAGGCGATAGTTTTGAACACTGGCTGGTTATGTACTTGCTCAAATATTGATTTAGGATCATTTTTAACCAAAAAAAGTTACGGACTGCAGCTTTAAATGTAAATATATTTTAACTGAACGTGACATAGCAAGTTTAAAAAATAAGGTTTGAATGAGATTTGGGAGCTGCTGTGGAGGGAAAGATTTGTAGTTTATAACACGATTTCAGTCTGTTCCTCTCACAAAGCTGTTATATAACAGCAGAAGATTTGGAATAAAGTGCACAAGGTTTTTGAGCACCATGTGCTTTCATTGTTTATGCTGCTCCTTTCCATACAAAATATCTCCTTTTGTGTTTCATGGAAAAAAAGATTTGACATCAGAATGAGTAAATGATGGCTGTTTTTATTTTTGGGTGAACTATCCCTTTAAATGCTCTGTTATTTTTTAGAGGTGAATATTGAACGTGAAATCCATCAGCTCAGCACACAACAGCGTCAGAGGTATTTTCACCTTTGATCTCTGTCAGTCACAAGACCACCTTTGTGTTCCAGTGCTCAGACTGGCTGGATTTCTTTGGTAAATCACAGAGCTTTAGAGTCCAGGAGCAGATCACAGAACAGTTTCAGAAAGCAGCTGGGGTCTCCTACAGCAGCAGTCTCAAAAGTAGGCAGATTATGGACTCAGAATGTCTGAATGTCATTGCATTAGATATTAAGTTATAAAATCAAGTCTCTATATCTGTATTCAAATGCTGAAAAATATTTTCTCTTTCATAACTTTTTGTCATCATTTTTGCTCAATGACATTTAATCAGCTGGTGCTTTGGTCATTTTTAAGTGGATATACAATACAGTGTAAAATCAGTTCAGAATATTCACCCAAAAATGAAAATTTGCTACAAATTTACTCACCCTCGGGCCACCTAAGATGCAGATGAGTTTGTTTCATCATGGGAACAGATTTGGAGAAATGTAGCATTACATCACTTCTCACCAGTGGATCCTCTGCGGTGAATGGGTGCCGTCAGAATGAGAGTCCAAACAGCTGATAAAAACATCACAGTAATCCACACGACTCCAGTCCATCAATTTACATCTTGTGAAGTGAAAAGCTGCGTGTTTGTAAGAAACTCAGTACGTGAACAATAGAAGTCAAAGGAAAGTTCCCACCATAATAGAAAAACAAACGTGTGTTTCTAGCAAATTTTCATTTTTGGGTGAACTGTTCATTGAAGTGTTCTTGTGCTATCTATCTTTTAAATAAATTACACCTTAAAAATCAATATGCTTTCAATATTAGAATAATAATAATAATAATAATAATAAAAGCAACAACAATAATAATAATAATAAATATTATTATTGTATATCTAATGCAGTGACATTCACAATCAAATATTTGTAAGTGTGACTTGAATGCCCAGATACTGTGGCCACTATATATATTGAAAATAAAAATAGGAACAGCTCTTTTGACCACTCCAGGTTGCCAGCCGCCATTATTTGGACAGTCGTGGGTCAGAAAGGTTATAATCAGTGCTTAATTTGTAAATTGCGAGGTCCCGGAATAGGCATGGGCCGGTATGAGATTTTGACGGTATGATAACCTTAAGCAAAAATATCACGGTTTCACGGTATCACGGTATTGTTGTTACAGCTCATGACATTTGGAAAATTACATGCATTGCAACGCAGTTTGTGCAAGTCCAGAACTCCCGGAACAAAGCGGGCTAACGGATCCGGCATGTGATTACAGGAGGGAAAGGTAACGGAGCATTCACGCAATCACATTCGTGGACCAGTTTAAGTGATTAACAGCTTGCATCAGTTGCTTTTGTGCGGTCATGAATAACCTGGAAAAGTCATGAAATTTTAAAACAGCAATTTACAGGCCTGAAAAAGTTTTGAAAAAATTGTGGAATTTTATTTTACAAATCTCCGTATAATAGAGTTATATTTAATCAGGTCCTAAATATATATATTTATTTATTTATTATTATTATTATTATTATTATTATATATATATATTATGCACAATACCCGTGCCGAAATTCAGGCCCTGCTTAACTAAGCAGACAAAGACAAAACTACAGTAGCCTATTTACAGATGAAACTGATTCACTTGAAGTCCTGAACAGCTCCTCCATTCTTGAGTCTCTCGCAGTGATTACTCTGATTAAAACTTGTTAGCAGAGGCGCGGAGCGCGCAAGCCGAATCAGAGCAATGCCAGTCAAGACTAACCGATTTCTAAGGTTTCTAGGCTGTTCTAGGTGGTTGCTAGGTGATTACACTCTAGTCCAAGTTAGCCTATTTACAGATGAAACTGACCTGCACTTGAAGTCCTGAACAGCTCCTCCATTCTTGAGTCTCTCGCAGTGATTACTCTGATTAAAACTTGTTAGCAGAGGCGCGGAGCGCGCAAGCCGAATCAGAGCAATGCCAGTCAAGACTAACCGATTTCTAAGGTTTCTAGGCTGTTCTAGGTGGTTGCTAGGTGATTACACTCTAGTCCAAGTAAAAAAAAAACCCATCTTCAAGTTCTGAGAGGTTTTAAGTGTGTTGCTGTGCAGTTGCTAGGGTATTCTAGGTGGTTGCTAGGGTGTTACTAGGTAGCTTGTAAGGATTCTAGGGTGTTCTGGGTGGTTGCTAGATGACTGCATATTAGTCCAAATGAAAAGAGCTCACCCTCAAGTTCTGAGAGGTTTCAAGTGTATTATTCTGCAGTTGCCAGAGTGTTCTATGTTGTTGCAAGGGCGTTGCTAGATGTTTTCTAAGGTTTCTAGGGTGTTCTGGGTGGTTGCTGGGTAATTGTATACTAGTCCAGATCAAAAGAACCCACCTTCAAGTTCTGACAGTTTTTAAGTGTTGCTATGCATTTTTTAAGTTGTTCTAGGTGGTTGCTAGCGTGTTGCTAAGCAGTTTCTAAGGTGATCTGAGTGTTTGACTTCACACAAAGTTGATGTTCCATAACTAATATCGTCCTCTGATCAGGTTTCTCTGCATGACAAATGCACCTGGACCATTAGCTGCGTAACTGCATTACTGACCCAGGATCAGGTGTCACTGATGATGATGTTTTTCATGATGCACACTTCCTGTAGACCAGCCTGATGGACCAGAGATAGAGAATGGAAGACTTTAATGACTAATTCCTATATGTATTTTTTTGCTATTGAGCGGGTCATGGACAGAGAAGGTACTGTGACAGTGACTGGCAGGGTGTCCGCGGATCCTTAAAAAGTCTTAAAATGTCTTAAATAACGTTTTCCTAATATAAGGCCTTAAAAAGTCTTAAATTCGGATTCGATGGGTCTTAATTATTTTTGTCTCATTACCGCTAAAATATCTTCAGTCTGACAGACCTAATGACTTTACAAAGACTTTTTTTCTTCCCCGCGGTAAATTACTGCGTCATCAGAGAGAATTGCAGTAAATTAGCAGAATACAGAATACAAGCTCGCGCTGAGGCTCACTCTGTTTGTCTCGAGACTTCAGAACAAATGAGCGTGACCGCACACATAAACTCAGAAGAAACACACTGAGGTAAAAGTTCAAAATGTTTAGTTTATTCATAACATGATATAGTTAAATAACACCATGACAAGTGAGCTATTTTGCTCAATATTCTCACGACGCAAAAAAAAAAACATTCAAAACACCTACAGAGTGCAGGCATTACGTGAAATCTAGTGCGCGTGCGCATTTACAGTGCGCTCTTTCACTGCATGATTAAAACACAGAACAGAAATACCAACATTTTTCACTAAAATGAAAATGAAAATGGTAAATATAACATATAAAAACATTCAAAGACATAAAAAACCCACATTATTAAAAAACATTATACAAGTATCTCAATGATACTAAAATAACACTGATGCTAGTATACTGCACAGTGCATACTGCCTTTTATTTTTGAAAAATAGTATATGAAACCGACTGCATTATGCAACTTTATTCATTTCAGACAATATTTTGCTATATTGTTGTCATGTGACATTGCATGTTTAATTCAGATTATTTATTTATTTTAAGCAAAAATGTTACATTTTGGCCTATTAATCAAATAAATGAGTGATTATTCCATGCATTCATAAAATTTGCATAATATTTACATCCTGTACATACTATATACTGCAAAAACAGTAAGAGTGGTATGCAATTTCTTGTTTAACCCATATCTGAGTTAGATGTGTTGGATATGTGAAATCATACAGTCTTTCAAGTATGTTTTGGTGGTAATGGACGCTTTTGAATACATCTGCAGCGCAAATGATGTTATCAGACTCCCTGCTGGGTGTTTATACACACTGATGATGATGAAATCCCATCAGCACCAATGTCACACGCCATAAAGAATCGGTTGAATGCAGTTGTTTGTCACCAAGTTTGACTCATCTGTGCTGTCAGAATCTGATAAATGGACCAAATTCAAAAAAGAAAAGAGATCATGTGGAAGCATATGTGTGGTAGTTTGTGGTTTTCTGGACCATGATGATTCAAGCTTTAAATAATTCAAAACACTTTCTCTCGTTTTGTATTCAGCCGGTGCTTTTAGCAAAACTGTGCTTCCTGTAAACAACCTGAATGACTCGACTCCTGTAGCGTCTGGACCAATCAGACACACCATTTGTCATTTGATTTAACAAATCAGTTATTCATTAGATTAACAAAGTTTGCTCATAACTGGAGTCCCTAATCATGCAGATTTATGCTGCAGGCTCTGTGTAGAGTTGTACAGTAAGAAAGTTATTTCCTTTAACCAGGAAATTAACGTTCTTAGAATTGACAGACAGTTGACCCTGAGAGGTCAGCTAAATATCTACAGCGGATCTAAATATTTATAATTAATTATAACTAGTTATGATTAATTATTCATATTTCCCCATGAGCTGATTCGCTACACTCCCATTATTCAGCCATCCTTAATTTTATTTTATTTTTTTTTGGATTTCGTTCATGGTTGCTTAATCCATGATCAGCTAAACTGGAGTAGGAGTCTAATGATAGACCTTATTATTGAGTCCAGAACAGAGAAGTTCCTGTAGAGGGAGAAAGTTATACTGACATGTAAAGGTCACCTGCTGAGATTTGTGAGGAATTTTCATTGAATGCCAGAGGAAGATTTACAACTTGTATAATTTTTATGTCTTAAAGGTCTGTGCTGTACATATTGCGTATGGCTGTGGTCCTTCCTTAAATGTAAGTCTGGGCTGTTTTTTTTTTTTTTTTGTCCATCAGGAGAAAATCGCACCATAGCCCGTATGTGTCTCTAGGGCTGGACAATAATTCAGTATCAATATGTATCGCGATATATTTTTTTTCAATAACGGTGATATGATTTTTAAACACATTTCCGATATTTCGAT